GCTTCCCAACAATCAGCATTAATGAGCATTAGTCCGGATCTGCTCAACTGTGAAATGTAAACCCCGCGCAGTACGAATATAACATTGAGGCTAAACATTTTAGCCGCTTCAATTAGTAGCTACAGCACGTACTTTACCGTATCAAATTCACATACGAATACTTGAAAAATATCATAACAACAACTACTGCACAACGATGCGGTAGCAACGAGAGCGAACTGGTGGGTATTGCCACACGAGGCAACGGAACTACGTCAGAACACCATTAATTCCAGCTCGATAAAATCTGATATCTAGTCGATCAGTTTTCACATGCCATTGTTAGTGGTGTTGTGCAGCCACAGAAATCGGAAGGTGTAGTCATAACCTGCCGAGTGTGTGGTTAGAATAGCAATGATTCGCAATAAGAGTTCGTTTCGAACGTACCAAAGTGCTGTAGTGACGCCTGCACATTGTAGAATACCCAGAATACGAGTCGTGTCTGTACTCCAGAGTATTGTTTCTCCAGTACATAAGCCAACTGATGCATCGGCGAGAGGCCTACCTTGCGCTGCAAGATAAATATCAAAAGTAGTAGCGATACGGTCTGGAGTAGGCAGTAGAACATGACATTTTCCAGCGTCTGCATCAACTCGGTTTGTGTCATCCCGTGCAATTGCGAATAATACTCGCGATTTGGCAGTTGATAGGTGGCAAACATGTAGATTGCTGGTTGCAATTAACAAAGGAGTTTGGATTAGTTTAGCTTATCTCGCGCTGAACTATAGATGGGAGCAAGTGTACTTACAGAAAACGAGTGGGATGACAACCTCGACGTAGTTGAGGAGGAGAAGAAATTCCGCCATGTACAGCAGAGTCTGTACTTTACGTGTATATCTTAGCTTGACCGAGAACTTCCGAAGAGATTTTCCGGCAGACACAACTGTTGGTTGGACTTTGACTCTATCACGATGTTTGTTCGTAACTATACGCACAGGAAGAGATACCACACGAGATGCAACAGCAACTTTGTTCCTGCTGGGCTTTACTTGTTCTGGAGATCGCTGTTCAGAATCCAACTCGTGCCCAAGACGCCGTGAGACTTCCTTGCCTTGTTGTTGTGCATCTTGTTCCAAGAGTACCTGCGTCCTATCCAGTGTGGTAGGTCTTCGATTTCCTGCGTTGAGATCCAAAGCACAACAGCTACTTGAACTATTTTCTTGACCGATTCGCAGTTCCAACTCTTTCAGGTCACGGCGAATTGATTCCATATCTTGCACCGAGATCAATATCATTGCGATGTCACCGAACATTAGCTCCAATGTTGTCCAGGTCGATGGTGAGTTCTGCATGCAGTAGGATACAAACAGCGCGTTGAACACTTCGGCGTTGAAGACGATGACTTCAGGCATTTCGTCGGTAAGATGAACCACTGTCCGAGCGAAAAAATTCCTCATGGCCAGCTTGATCACTGGGAGTATCAATGCAAACACCATCTGACCCCTATCGGGCAGTATCGTGAAGACGTAGTAGTACGGTGGGTAGATGAACTCTAGTGTTACTTGACATATCCATACCTTGATAACATTGTTCATCATAATCTCGGCTCCTGGAGTCTTACGAATCTTGTCCATCCATTCAATCGCCATTGATATTGAGATGAGAGTGATCCATACGGGTGTTACCACTACCATAGAGAACGGCATTGGGAATCCTATTGTAATGACTAATGCGTAAAGAGTAGCAACACAAATTACTGATATCCAGATAGAATTCACGAATGCTCGCCAAATCGGATACGGGAGAACCGGAATGCTAATTCGAAACTGGTGAATGCAAATGAAAGTCAGCACCGAGGA